TACAAGAAGCACTAAACTCCCATGCTTGCAGCAACAGCCTGTCTGAGATAAAGGATTCAAGTGGTCCAAGAATGAATTTCAGGCCCCAAAAGCATCATTTGCACCTCTTCATTAAAAGGAGGAAATAGCTTGTAGTGCATTTTTTGTTGTACTATTTTGAAGTACTATTCCATAACATATTAGTCTGTTATATGCTACTAGTCTTCCACTTCCTCAACAGGATAATGGGTGAGTAGGAAAATAATCCATTTCAGAATGCATTTTTTTAAGTACAGAAAAGCCAAAGAGTCTTCAGTCGACCCATACAAACACCTAAAACTGCTCAGATCAGCTCCTCAATGCAATGTACTAACTACAGAATTAACTGCATACTCATTTATCTTCTGTGTACCTTATAGTCCCTCCTGCTGAAAAAACACCCTGTACTGCTGCTGTATCCACATGGTGGTGAAGATACTCAGGCAACGGTCTCACTAATAACTTTGAGCCAATATAAACCAAACTAACGCCAAATAAAGCAGCTTTCCAGCCACCCACTCCCTTTCCCCCCCAATTCCCCTCCAACCTTTTTTCTTTTGCTGTTTCATTTTTATATCATGAAATTTATTAATTCACCACAAGGGAATTAGAAAATTCAAAAAGAAGGTAGCACATTGAGAGAGAAGTCGTCATCCAAGTGCACAAAAGTGCAGGACTGCTTCTTTTGGCAATAGTACCTGCTTAGCGTGGTTAAAAGTGTTTGGGAAACTACAGACTCAACACAAGGCAGGCTGGTGCTTCTTTGTGTTGAGACTTGAGAAATATCTGGAGAACAGGAATAAGGCTTATAGAATCATAGAATCATAGAACGGTTTGGCTTGGAAAGGACCTTAAGATCATCCAGTTCCAACCCCCTGCCATGAGCAGGGACACCTCTCACTAAACCATGCCACCCAAGGCCCTGTCCAACCTGGCCTTGAACACTGCCAGGGATGGAACATTCACAACTTCCTTGGGCAACCCATTCCAGTGCCTCACCACCCTTACAGTAAAGAACTTCCTTCTTATATCTAACCTGAACTTCCCCTGTTTCAGTTTGAACCCATTATCCCTTGTCCTATCACTGCAGTCCCTGATGAAAAGTCCCTCTCCAGCATCCCTGTAGCCCCTTCGGACACTGCAAGCTCCTCTGAGTTCTCCACAAAGCCTTGTTCTCCAGGCTGAGCAGCCCCAACTTTCTCAGCCTGTCTTCACATGAAAGGTGCTCCAGTCCCCTGATCATCCTCTGATCACCCTTATCTATATGCAGACCTAGCCATGAGCACGCTTCACTGATTTTAAATGCGCAAATATCACTTCCACGCTGTCCAAGATCAGAGTCATTTCCTCAGATACAAAGAAATCAGTGTAATTTTGCTGAAAAGAGAATGCAATCATTACTGTGTTTGCAGATGTGTCCTCATTCCTAATTTGAGGAATCAAGAGTCAAACTCTTGATACTCAAATCTTGAGTACCAAGAGTTAAAAATAAAACAAAGAGAAAAGCTTCAGAAAATAACCATAAGTGCCTATTGGTCCTGCTTTGCAAGTGACATCAAACTCGAGGCAGTCTTCTGTGAAAGATGCAGCTTTTTATTCATAGGTGCTGCTGTTACAAATGTCATCCAGTGTTTGAGGCTCCTAAAAATCTCTTCTACCTATCATACTTACAGGCTGTAATCTCTTCAGTGTTTGCTAACTTACTGTAAGCAAAATAACAAAAGGCAGTACTACACAAAATCATAGGAAATAGACTGAAATCAGATGATGAATCTTAATATTGGAAGCAAACATTTAGCAACCAGGATACTGTTTTCTGTTACTTCTCAGGATCCTAATGACATACTAAGCAAAACTAAAACCTATAAGCACTCAAAGAAAAAGAATCCTTAAACCAAGGAGACAGGCAGGTAAGCAACCATGGCCAGGGATTCTTTCTAGGTAAGGATCCTCTTCTGCACGATGATCTTGCACAGACAGCAAGCCCTCCTATCTGTCAGAAAGGTGTGTTTGTCCTAGCAAGTAAGCTCGTAAACCCATTAAAGCTGGCATTTCCTGTGTAAATATTCCATAGGCAAATCCATGCTCTCATTTTCAACCCTCACTATTCAGAGCACAGGGATCTCTGTGCTGCAAGCATCTTGCCTGAAAATGGTGATTGCACCTCTGCACCTTCTGATCATCTGCCAACAAGTTCTACATAGTCTTCTGCAACTCCACGATTCTATCTAAGCCATGTAACAAAAACAAGAGCAATACAGATGAGCACTGCATTAAACCTTACTGACCACAGCATCACAAGGAACAACAAGCAGAGCTGGAAGAACTGGGTGCTGAGCTGGCTAAGTTTGAAGGCAGAATATACGTGGCAAGTTCTGGAGGTACCGCTCTGGCCAATAATGCAAGAATTTATGACACTCAGTTATTCACACATTTCACTGTTGTGTTAATGTTAACTCAAAGGGGTTTCATTTTAAAAGTTACCCATATCCTGCCCCTGGGGCTGAACTGAAATAATTCTCTATAAAAACTTCAGTCTTGGAGTCTATTTACAGAAAAATATGGCAATTTTCCTGTAAATGAGGAACATATTCAAGTCATCTTTAGTTACTCTATTTTCTTATCAGAGTTAGAGGATACAGTTGGCATCTTCCCCTACCTCAAACGTACTTACGTACCTACTTTCCAGCTATAATGTTTTATCCAGGCTTACCAGAAATTGTAACAGTGCTGTGAATGGACATCAGGCACAAGCTTAGATGAGAAACATACTCAGGCTCAAGTGCACCATGACTGCCCTGACAAGCAGACACCAACTGTGGAATTTTGACTAGCACAGCTATTAAAAATAAACCAAATATTTAAAAGAATTAAAGTAACTATTATGAAATTGACTTTGTATTTATTAGCAGATACTGTATATATCTAAATTATTCTATATTCTAAATTGTCTGAAGTTACAAATCAGCCAAGTCCTGAAAAATATGCTCTCCTATAGATCACAGCTGTAATATGCTCTCTTCTTAAAGAGATAAAGTCAGAGAAAGGATATCTAAAAATCTCAAAGATAAATTGGAGAAGACTCCAGTTATTTGCTTCGAATGAAAGAACAAGGGTCAAACCCAAACAGCATTGGCTGCCTTAAACAAAAAACAAAAGAGGCTGATGGAAGGAGTAGCTATCAACCCCCCCAGCTAAAGATGCCACAGAATTGGGTACTGTTGTTCTACAAATGTAAACTGCCCTTGAACAATTCCTGATCTGAATTCCATTTGCTTTAACTGACCCTTTGAGAAACAATCACAAGCATTCTCTGTTGCTGGCTAATATGGAACTTACACAGCCCTTAAAGGAACTTCAAATGACATTGCTGTTTCATATTGAAGCAAGAACTAAATTCATGCACATATTAAGCAATGTTCATAGACTAGAATAAACATCAAATTCTTTCAGCTGAGACATAAAACCACCAAGGAACTGACCATTCGTGGCATGAGAGAATCACGATATGAGGTGTCAACTCCAACGTCCTGGACAAACTCCAGCCTGTGTAATTGCAGACAGCCTTTAACCTCTCTTTGCAACTGCACACTGACATAATATCCCTGCCCACTCCTTGTACTGCCCTAGCAGGGTATTCCTGTTATGTATTCCTCCACAGAGTTCTGTTCTGTATGCTGCTGTGTCTGTGGTCGTAAACCTTCTGCCCAAGAACCTCTAGGTTGAATGAGTAACATAAATGGTTTTTCCAAGCGTATATTAAAAACAAAGAACAAAAAGAAGCCTGCTTGTTGTTCAGAGTAAGACTGGCTTCCCCAGAAATGGAGAGAGAGAACCCAGGAGAAGATGGGTTTGCATCCCCTATAAAGACTGAGTAATCCTAAACCTACTTTCTTCCTTTTACTAGATGTTTCAAGGTGTTCTGCTAACATCATCTAATGGTATTAAGATGCTCTGATCTCCTCTTATGAAAGCACATGTTGTGCAGCTTAATTTCTTCCTTAATTACTGCCAAGTGCCACATTTTCTCTTTAGGCAATGAAACAATAGATTCTTAATGCCTTTGGCTAAGCCACGGCAAATCATCTTCTGAAAGCCAGCAATGAGCTTCTAACTCTTAGTCAGCAACTGGTCACACTATTGGGATGAAGGGTTTAAAGTAAAACACGTTCTACTCCTAAGAGCTCCTACCCAGCTTGCAGAGAAACTCTCTCTACACCATCATAAAGCCAAACAGTTAACAAGTTTGGTTTTATTAGTAAAACAAAACTATGTTTTATATTTTGACACAGAGAAAATTAACTGATTATGAGTGAAAATCATCTGCAGGCTTTTATATAGTAAAAAAATCAGAACCAGCTGCTTGGTGCAGAAGGTTAATTAACACTCCAGTGTTTCTTCTGAACAGAGGTGGGTTCAAACAGTGCAACTTCTTTTTCTTTAAAGGGAAAACAAAATTCCCCAGCACAACTTTGATCATCAGTGCCTTTATAAGAGAAATTACGGAGAAATAACATGGAGAAAATTGTAGGCAGAGGAAGAATTAGCTATTTCATCAGAATTACAGGAAAAAGCTTTGCAGACTGTTTAAGATCTTCAGTATTTCCACTGCAGTCAGTTCACTTTTAAGATGACTAAGCTTCAGCTTCTCAATTCAATAGGAATAAAGAAGCATGTGTGTGTAGATGCAGGCATGAAAAAGACAGAAAGAAATAAGCAAGCGATTTAGTGTGTGCAATAGCGAAAGGAAAAAGTTCGCATTTCACTGTCAGGATATAAAATGCACTGCTGGTTATTTTGCCAGTTGTCATAAAATACATTAGCTTCATCTGTGCAAGTTACCAACACAACAACACAACACATACACAAACACGCACCCACAGAATTATTACCAAGTTTCATAGCACATACCTTTTATACAAGGCAAAAACCCCAACAAACCTACAATTTGTTTTATGAGTAAATCGAACGAGTTTGCTTACCACAGCTGGGGGATCATTCCAATCCTCATAAGAAATGGCAGCATATGGGTAAATTCTGTCATTGATAATCTGAAGAGTAGCAAGAGCAATTGCTTTCATTGATCGAAAATATGCTTCCCAGAACCACCTTGCCTGTAAAGAGAATAAAGTTCACTGTCACACTGCACAGATCCAACGCTTAATAATCAATATTGGCTTGCCATGCACGGTATGTTCCATACAGTCAATGTGTATGGTGGAGATTAAATTAGGAGGCATGTTTATTGTAGCTAGGATATTTCCATAGAGCCTGAAGGCTTCAAACTCAGCTCCACTCCCCAAAACCCAGCATTTGCAGCCAATAAAAGGAAGCAGCAGCAATGCTTTGCAAGTGATTGAACAGAATGAGAATACATGAAGGAATCACTTTCACACTTTAGTCGTATGTTTCCCTCTTGAAAAATGTCAAAAGCAGTTTAACAGTAGAAGAAATTGCTATTATACTCCGTTTTCCCAAGGCAGAGGAATCCAAAGTGCAGCTAAACAGCCAAACAAAGCATGCAGCCTAAAAGAAGCCACTTTTTAACATCAGTATTCGAGACAGCTGATCAGCTGGAGAATGTCAGTGCTCATGAACCAAACTAACACCTTCCCAAGTCTTCCAGAAAACAAATATTATGCAAGTACATGCTACGATTTTTACATAAAAGTACATGTGTGTGCCAATTTGTTACAACTGTTCATCTGATTTACAAGATAGTGTAAAACCACTGAAACGAAACGGGATTTTCTTATACACAGATGCACTGAACCGCACAGATGAGTCATCTTCCAGCTAAGTCCCTGTCATGCAAGTTCTAATCTTGTCCCAGTTTCTGTATAACACATAAATGCTGGAAGAAAAACAGGGTTTTGGCAATGAAAATGCTGACTTAACTGATTCTCTGTTAGAGATGTAAACAGCCTTTTGAAATGCCTAGAACCATCCAACGATCCTGTAGGACCCCAACCAACCCAGGAGGAAACACACTTTGCCAGTAAATGCAGTTCAGGAGTTTCGTCCCAAGAGATATGAATTCATTTCAATGTAATTTTCCTTGAGGAAACTCCAGCACCTTGAAGCATCTAGCACGTAAACTGACAATCTCCTTATGGTTCAGTATCAGCTGTAAGAGTGTGTTTTGCATCTAGTCATAGAGCAATTAAAAGGTTTTTTTTTCATTCACTGGAAGCATAAGAAGCTTTCAGAGCCAGAATGTAACCACTGAAGACAACAGGCAAATTTGGGCTAGTGCTATATTACTCTTGCCACAGATTCCTTAAACAGCAAAAAGGCTTTAATCATATACTATGATAATATTAAGCCATATTATTTAGCATATTAAGTTACTGACGGAATACTGAGCTTCTGGAGGAATACCAGACTTTGGTACTATGAACCAAAAATAACTCTCATTTAGCTGTTGTTAACAAGTTACCAGTGTGTCTCACTCTGCAAGACAGTACTTTAATATAAGACAAAGAGTGATTCCAATATGTAGACCATGTGCTGATGCTTTCCTATGCTACATAACAGGATACAGGAAAGATTATAAATAGGGAAAATACAAGTTCAACAGGCAAATATGCACATATTCACACATGTTCTACCTTGTACTTTGTGTGCAAGCTATGGGATTCCGAACTAAAGACCTATTGCTGAAATACTGGCCCTAAAACTCTACCCTATGGGTAGTTTGCAAAACAGGCTCTTCAGAATAGTCCTGTAAACATTTAAGATTAAAATAAGCCAAGTTATAATTAAATAAGCAAACTGGAAAAGAGTTAAGTGCTCTGTGGAGCGCTACGTTTATTGGGAGAAAACATGAACAACCGTAAGCCTCACTACTTCAGAGTATTTCAGAATTCTACTAAGGAGACTGATATCAGAGTATGTCCAAAATTTACACCTCTCTGGAGCTTGCCATCCAGAGACAATGCAAAACCATTTCACTCTAGAACAGAATCACTTCCCTCTCCCTTATTTCTCTCCCTGGTAGGACTTAACAAGCTGATTACCAAGAACACAGAACAAAATGAATATTCTATGATTATATATATCCAAAATGAGTATTATGCATGTCCACCTGTAAAAGCAGAATTATACAAACAGGTCAAGAATAATGTCTGCCTTCCTAAAATACCAAAAAGACCTTAAATCAAGGAAACACCACATGTTAAGCACAGGACGTAAGTACTCCTTACCCCATGCTCCATTTCTTAAGAGAAAATGTATTATTCAGAACTCATACAGCAACTGATATAAAACCAGAAGCAGATGAAGAATTAAAACTGACCAGAACAATAAACTTCTCTATTCAAGCACCCTAAATAAACAAAAGTAAGAACACAGATTTCAGATTTCATTTTCACATTAGACAACAGTTTAGAACCATTGCTACAATCAGCACTAAGGAGAAAGGAGAAATTATTTTATGTAGCCTTTTAACATGTAACTTTATATAGCAATTAAGTAGCTATTAATTGTGTGTCATACACACAGGACTTTATTTCACTGTTATTAAATGACAGCATTCCTATACTGCTCTAACTCAGATTGTTTATATTGTCGTATCTATGAACATCTAGCTTTGTAACAACCAAAGCTGGTTTTCCTCCTTCAGCAAAACCAGAATGGATCTGCTCTAGAGTCTCTTTGCTGAAAGAACACTTGCAACGTGAGGCAGGATTACACCTTTATACCAGAAGCAAAACTGGAGAGAAGGGCAGAGGGAATTTACTTTTTATAGACTAATATTTATGTAATTCATTTTTTGTAAAGAGCCAGAAAATGTTCCCACAGTTGGCTCTAAGTTTTCTGGGAGCTGTGTTTCTTTAAGGCAGAACTCAAAACCTTCCAAGGGGATTTGAAGTCTCCAAACAGATGTTTCAGGGTCTCATTACTTCCTCCCCACCTTGTTTGCTTTTATAAAGCAGAACTGATTAACATGGCTTGCCAGTGTCTGCTGCTCAGCATGTGAAGTTACTAAACATGTTGGGAAAGTTTTCTATTGGGAAGATATACATCGGTTCCATTTGAAATGTATTTTCTGCTGTAGTTGGTGTGGTTGAAAAGCTTTTGTTGGAATGTAATAACTAGAGGAGATAAAAATCCCATTAATATATTTGGGATACAGGAGAAACAACAAGAAGAGATCTGTTCCTGACTCATGCACCAACTTTCTTCTGAGCTGCCCATTTCTCTTTTCCATATCTATGAATTCAGAAGACTAATGGTTATATACTTGAGAGCAGCTTTAATATACTCGGCAATGGTTTTAAAGTATGGCAATCATAGCATACTAATCAGACCTACCTGAAAGCTTTCCAGGATCTTGAAATAAATCATCCATAAGTACAGATCTTATCTTCCACACAGCATTGGTTATACACATATTCTACGACTATGATATGGTCAGGCTGCCATTCCTTTCAACCTGAACTGAAATTAACTTCTAGTACTCCAGGTTTCAGAACACACTACATGGACCACAGACTTGTAGAGAATGCTAACATTTTTATATACCTAAATATTGCTTAGGTCATGAGCAATCTAAATTGTACATACAGATCAAATGCATACTTTATACAACTTCTAAAACAGCACAGATGAATGGATGTCAACCTATGGGACCTTGCTCTGGGTGTATAGCTTACGAGAAACTGCAAACAGGTATTTAAGAAACACAGCTTCTCTTTCCCTACTAGATTTCTAGATAAATAGAAAATCTAGGGTAGATCCTAGAGAAAAGGTAAGAAAACATTACTTTCTGTAACATTCTACCGACGCGTGTAAGAACCAAGCATAGCATAATGCATGACCTGAATGAGAATGAGAAATATGTTATATTATTAGGTTGCCCAAGGGGTGACTTGAATCTCTAATAATACAATAAATTCCCCATGAAATTAATTTACCCGAGTTCAATTTCTGCATAACATTTTACAAAGCCAAGACAGCTTCGCCATGGAAGCCAAAGACTGAAAGAACTGGAGACCAAACTCTCTCTCCAAGCAGTGAACCCTGCAGACCAAGGTCACAAACTCAGGCGTATCAATAAGCAGCTCTAAGTTGTATCCCTTCCTTCCTCACCAGACCGCTTTCAACTGCTGCATCCTCATTAGACCAGCCATGAAAACCCATGACTTTCTGTAAAGGCTAGAATTGCTTAATATAATATAGAGGTATTCATTTATCCCTACAAATACATATGCACACCTTGAGGAACACTAACCATACCTGTAAGGCAGAAGAAAAAGTACAGAAACATTGTTTTCTTCCTCAAACCTGTAGATGGTATGGGGAATTCTGTGCTCTTTCAATCAATTAAGCAAGCATCCAATCCCAAAGTTAAATTCCACATATTTTCAGTTTCATGATTTTGGTCAAATGGACTCCAAAGAAACTAAATTGACAGTATTCAGCATATACTGGTACAGGCAAGAGCTTGGGATGGAAGCATGTGCAGTTATTTTCATAGGAAACAACAGGCAGGAGCACACAGCAATAGGGTAGCCCATTCACAGAAGGTAACATTTATTTAGGTAAGGTGTTATTTTCCTTAGAAATAAACACACTTGAAGGCCTAGCATCTTTTTATAAGCTCTTTACAAGCCAGAATAGCATCAGGTTACAGACTCCATTCATATAGTGTTTATAAGTTCTAGTGTTAATGCCACTAATGGTGCTCCGGTGTAGAGTGTAAGACAGATCAATGTAAATCTTTTGGTTAGTTTGTGAAAAGAAAAACACTGGGCATGAGGCAGGGAAAGGAATACTTTCTGTAACATTTGGATCAAGGGGAAAACAGACTGGGAAAGGAACTTTCTAGCCTCCTGTCTTTTCACAGCCTATGATTTGGTGGGAGTTGGTAAAGTTAGCAAAAGGGGAGAAAACAAGGTTTGCAGAGGAGTAGTAAAAGTTAACTGCCCATAAACCACCACCTCTCTCAGCTTTTAGGTCAGGCGCCATGATGCTGTAAGATTTTGCCCCGCTGCAGGAGTTCAGTGTTTCCAAAATGCTTTAAAAGGTTTACGAGGCCTTGAAATACAACCATTTTCACACAGGGGCGACTCTACTTAAATGCTTTCCCTTCTAGATGGCTCTGGTGTTC